ACATCTTGGGGTGGGTCGAGGCTAGGCGGTTGCAGCGGCTTCATTTTGCTCATACGGCTCCGTCTTTCGACGATTCATATTTGTTCTGGTGTAGCCTCTCGGCAGCAGCTTCGATTCTCCTTCGGCCCTCTAAAGCATGGTTTCTGGTGAGGCCCTCCATTGCCTCGCGGTCTACGATGTCATTTTCCGACCTTCAGGCCTGGCATGTCTCATGCCGACGTTAAAGACGATGACATGGTGACTGAATGGCCAGACCGCTCATGGGCTTGGGCATGCGCGTTTGTCGGCGCAAGCCGTACTCTTGATTGTGGCCAGAGCCGTCAAAGGTGGTGCCTATGGGCACTCTTACCTTGTGGTGTCGAAGCTGCAATTCACACCTTCTTGTCCGACATGTTCCAAGGAAAACCCCATATCTGGGTCTACCAAGTCGGACTGTGGTGATGCTATGGCTTTTCTCGGCGCCCCATTCTCTCTTGGGGGCATCATCCTAGAGATGATACCGGTCGGAGGGACTCATGGTTTGAGTTCATGGTCATCGGTGGCTCATGTGGTAACATTGATGGGGATGAGCAATGTTAGGGCCCAACAAGGTTGTGGTAGTCGGCTCGTCTGACGTGCTCGTGGTGTTATTTGGTCTCTATGTTATGCAGGATTTTGAGCTACAGCGGCAAGGCCCGTGTGGTGACAATGACTTGCAGATAGTGGTCTGGCTCGGCAATCCTTCATGGCGCCAATCTTGCATATTTCTTCATTTTAGCTCGCCTTCGAAATGGAAGGTGCCTTGCCACTAGCATGTGTGGCCGAATGTTTGGCATAGTCCAATAAGTCTTGTCCTCTCATTGTGGTGAGGCGTCGTTGCTGGCTGAATGCATTAGAAAAGGAGTCTCTTCTCGGGGAGAAGGGACGACGGCGGTAGTTTGCACACAACCTCGATGGTGTTCCTTTCCTTAGTGTTGTGTGTGGATCGTGTGGGTAGCGAGGTTGGCCAGTGATGCCCTGTGTGGGCGTGTTTCATCGGTTTTCACACAGTTTTTCGTAATTAGCCAGGAATTCTCTTCTTCTTAATTAAAAATGTTGAGTCCATTAAACTTTAGTTTCAAAAAAATAAATTCACATGGGTTAATCAGGCTTCAAAAACTTTGATTGCCTTCTTTTTCTAGAGCATTTAGATTGAAATTATCATATTGTTGATTTATCTCCACAAATACTTATATCATAAATACAATGTGACATAAAACAGTAGTCGAAGGTGTGTTTTGGAATGTTTACTCTAAAATATCGACTTTATTAGAACTTGGGGCTAGAGTTTGTTTTATTGGGTGCCTTGGCAGGGTTTCGACATGTCCCCCATAAAAAAGGTTCATCTTCATCTAATGATTTTTTCTGCTCTTTTGCTAAATGAGAAGGCAATGCTCCCGCTAGTTAATTCTTTGAAAACTAGAACTTATATTGTCTATCTATGTCCTCTATTTTTACTTTGGTGATGTTGTTGCCACTTTGTCACCAACAAGACCAACAAAGACTAGTTCATAGAATATGCCACTTCTTTTTCTTATAATAATGTGATACGCTGGTGGGGACAAAAGGGGGGGTGTAGGAGGATGCCATAGGTGAAGAAAAATGATGCATCAAAATGTGAGAGTACATGTTCAATGACCATCGGTCGACATCTAATCAAGTATTGTAAAATAAAACGGTGGACTAAGTAAATGGGAATGTAAAATGTCCTTATTGTTGGGCATTGAATACTAACATGGGTCAATTTTTTTTGTTCCCGAACAATATCAATAAACTATAAATCATCCCTCAACTCCGGAACTGGGAATTCTTATATTAGTTCTTAAACTATCAATATCATATGCTTTGGTCTCTCCCCCCATGGTCTTGGCAGTAACATGTTCTGTTGTTGACACAAGTCTAACACGGTGGTGATGTTTGACCATTCACACGGTGCCACATAAGCACCCGAATGACGGCAATGACTACTCACACTAGCTGACGAAGCCATTCACCATTCTGGAGTCGTGTCGACTAGTTTTTCGCACCATCTGTCCCCTCTTGCTCCACGAGAACACCCAGCAAAGCCCCCGTTGTTGTTGGACATCAGCAGGAGCACAAGCGTATTGAAGTCTGGCTGGCTACATGTGGTCATGGTGTCATATCTGCTATAACACATCGATGATTCCAATGCATATACACCGCAATAGCCTCCCACCATGCCCTTTGCTTGCCTTCTCATTATGTTTGAGTCCTCGTCTGCGCCTACCTCTATGCCACAACCACCGAATGGAAAAAAATCATCCTCGACGAGCAATCATGAAATCATCAATGGGAGCACTTACATTTCACATTGGTTCCAATTTCTTGCTATGGGATGTATCTCTCTCCCTCAAAACTAGATTATTGGAACCTTCTCACCTCACTCTAACTCTACACTTGGTGCATGCCCCAAGTGTCATCGTTTGTCACTGTTGTGGTAAACCATGATGCATAGTCGAAATACCTTGTCGTTCATGTTCGCATCCCCTTCTCAAGCTAGAAGACCTTCTATCTATCCCACATCACCATCGTTATCAACATCAGCTCAAGTAGGCAACCACTGGACCCCCTTGTCTTCCCTAGCGCCGGAGCGACATCCCATCTCCACTGCTACATGGGAGGCGGGAGGACTTCTGTTGGAGTGGCATGACATTGATGCCCCTTTTCTTTCAAGGGTGGTGCTTAGGCTGATGTCAAGGGTGTTGCACATATGGAGCATGGCAATGCTTGGCCATCGGTGTTTGTATCATTGTATGTTCTCGATTAATAGGGTCACAAAAGGCGGCACACTGGTTAGGCTCAAGGGCCGACTATAGGATCCCTCTACCAAACCCATGCACACGACAAGGATTACTTCGTCTTTGTAGCTGGGTCCAGCGTCGGCGGGTTCCTCGTGTAGATGACATTGGAAAAGTGAAGACCTAATTCAGACGAGTTCTCATTTTATTTACTCGATGTGGTTGTTAAGTTAGTTCTACATGTCGGGGTTTAACAAAAAAATTGTCCACAACATCACCAAACCACCATAATGCTCAAAGGGACAAAAAGTATATGGTTTTGACAGTTGGTCAAAGGGGCAAAAAGTACATCCTTTTGACAGTTGGGTGGGAGGGGGACACACAGGATTTGCGGTTTTGGAATTGATCGGCGAATTGTAGACATGTGACGCACTTGAGAGAAAAAAATGTACTTTTTCCATCTTTAAATACTACCGGATTAGTCCACGGCTCACAGTTGAGATGGTGGTACGTTTATTGAGGGTGCTAGTCTAAGAATAGCTAGACTCGGTGTTGTGTTGTTGAGGGCCTTGGTGACATGGAACAGATTCCTTCAGGGTTTCTACTTTTGCACACAATTGTGTGGCAGAAAAGTTCCCTCGACCCTATTGCGCCAGAAGCTTGCGCAACATCTCGTAGGATAAAATCCTTGGTCAAAGTCATTTTTCCCTTACCTTAATTTGTATGAAGGAAGGTTGCCAAACTAACAAGCCACAAATTTCAAGTAAAAACATGTAGTTGTAGTATTGTGTATACTTACTCTTTCTTTCCTACAACGGTGCTATTTGCTTGAAACTAAGTCGCATTCTCATTCCATCCACCATCTCATTTCTCATTGCATCTTTCCATTTCTTTCTAAATCTTCTTGTTCGTCTCCCCGGAGTCCGTGTGTGTGTGTATGTGCGCGCGCGTCCTCACAACCCACTTCCGTTCGTTGTTAGATTGTCTGGCTCTCGATTCCCGTCGAGTTGCCAATGCCACCATTGTTCACTGCCGCCGCAAGGTGCATATCCTTTTCTTTTGAATACCCATTTTGATGAGTTGAAAGATGGTGTGATGCAAGTTGGATGCTTGATTGAAAAAAGGAAAGTAAGGCTTTCGCCGGTACTTAGGTTACATTTTGGGATACAGAAGGTCGCCATTTTGGTTTGGGAGTTTCAACTGATTTAGACTGGCTGGCAATGGATCTTCCCGCTATCGAGTCAATAACTTGGCGAGG